GATCAAGGAACAGGCCGAGTGGGGGTCCCACCCACCAGATAGACGCCATGGAGCAGCTGCTCCAAGGTACACTGGGGACGAAGGAGCTTTTTTCAAAATTGTTTCATTTCTCACAAGTCTCTGTGGAAATTAAGCTACCTCAATAAATCTTAAGTTTTCTCCTAATTTCTCCTTGGATGTTTCCCTTGATTATTCCTTAACTCGAAACTGACTCTGAGTGAGATTTGCATATATATAGATAATTGTAAAGAAAGGTATGTCTAGATATTTTCAAAGCTTTCATGACTCATGAATATAAAAATCATCATGTCTATATCACACCATTGTAGGCATGCAAACGTACAACCTCATGGAATTTCAGAGAAATTCAGAAGGAAATTCACTTGACTTTCTACACTTTGATCTTTTTCTCTAACCTTGTTATGATACATACAGAATAACCCTTGAGTAACAAGGATATGCACATGGAAACGTTTATGAGAGTAGTTATGAATAATTATTCAGCCACATACAGCTGCACTAAATTGAGTTAAAGTTTACTCTAAGAAATAGCACAGTCCAATAAACAGTCCAGATCATATACGTTTTACAGTCCAAAGAATATCCAATTACAAAGTCTTCTTACCAGGTGCCTTTGTCATTTACAGTAAAAGATATCAAAGTATAAGCACAGCAGAAAAACTTTAGATAGCAACAGAATGTCAGAGATACAGAATGTCAGAAATAAGGAATGTCAGAGAGAGCAAGCTATGATCTCTAGCTCCCTCTTATGGCAATTCACAATACAATCAACCAATTGGAACATAGTACAATCAATGCAGTGTCTTTGTCTTAAAGCTACAAACATACATTGTTGGTTTATATATTGCTAACCCAAGTAATTGGTGTACAGATTACTAACAGTTATCATTTTCATTTCCTTTTTGCTTTGAAGGTAATAATGGGCAAGAGAATCAAGATTCTTGTGAACTGTTCCAAGTGATCAATGCTAAGGATGGAACGGAGAAGTTTGGAATTCGAATGGAATTCGAAAACCATGATAGAAACCAGTCAAAGAATTTCAACCAGGAAAGCTCATCTTCCACTGATGCTCCGATGCAAGACTTTCTTGCCCAACAAGAGGAAATAAGGAAAAAATATACTGGAAAATGTGTGAAGCTAATCAAAGCTAAAGTACAAGTAAATGAACACTATTTAACCCAAAACAAAGGAGAAGATGTTATAAGAAGACACAGTGGACAAAATTACAATGGGACATTCATTCTTTCTCTTGGACATAAGTTCCTTACATCTCAAAAAGCGATTGACACAGAAGAGAAGCCTTATAAGTGTTTGGAATGTGGAAAATGTTTTAGAACAAGCAGGCAACTTACATCCCATGAAAAAATCCACACGGGGGAGAAGCCGTTTAAATGCATGGAGTGTGGAAAGACCTTTGCTCATAGAAGAGCACTTCCTGTCCATAATAGGACCCACACAGGGGAGAAACCATATAAATGCATGGAGTGTGGAAAGACCTTTGCTGAAAGAAGTACTCTTATTTCCCATGAAAGGATCCACACAGGGGAGAAGCCGTATAAATGCATGGAGTGTGGAAAGACCTTTGCTCAAAGAGGAAATCTTATTCCCATAAGATGATCCACACAGGAGAGAAACTATATGAATGCATGGAGTGTGGAAAGACTTTTGCTCAGAGCAGTGGCCTTAGAAGCCACAAAAGGATCCACACAGGAGAGAAACCATTTAAATGCATGGAGTGTGGAAAGACCTTTGCTCAAAAATGTAATTTTATTTCCCATGAAAGGATCCACACAGGGGAGAAGCCATATAAATGCATGGAGTGTGGAAAGACCTTTGCTGAAGGAGGTCATCTTATTTCCCATGAAAGGATCCACACAGGGAAGAAACCATTTAAATGCACGGAGTGTGGAAAGACCTTTGCTCAAAGAAGTAATCTTATTTCCCATAAGAGGATCCATACAGGAGACAAGCCATTTAAATGCATAGAATGTGGAAAGACCTTTGCTCATAGATACAAACTTATTTCCCATAAAATGATACACACAAAAGAAGCTGTGATGACCCGGGGCGGGCACAAAAGCAACAAAGTCACAAAAGTTGGTAACATCCCTTTAATGTCTCCAATGTTGTCGCAGCGAGCGACCGGTCCGTTGTTCCGTCTGCGTTCTTTCGCTGCCTATGGAATTCCCCGCAGGGAAGAAGTTTAGAGGGACCCTCGCAAGGGTGAATACCAATAACAGACACCAGACATCCGATTGTTTTCATAGGAGGGAGCACATCACACCCGGGGCAGATGGATTGACCCAGGCAGCAGCAGCAGCAGCAGCAGGAGCCCCGAGTGCTTTGCACAAACCTCATTTATTATCCTCTTTCAAGCGGGTGGGGGAACACACAGGGGGTAGCAGAGTTTTACCTTATATGGAAGAAGATCATAAACAAAGAACAAAGTATGTGTTAGTTTGCAAGCTTGCAAGTTTGCTTAGCTAACGTGTCCTGGGACGGAAAGTAACAACAGTCAGTGTTTCATGATCATATTGAAACATTTTGCAGTTGGCTAAAACAAGGTCATTAGATACATGCAAACATCCCTGTATCCGTGTTTGACAATGTCTGCTTAATGGTGGAATAGCTACACAATGCGACCCCCAATGTCCAGTTATCATCGGCTGGAGAAAAAACTCTCCCAAGAACAATTTTGAAAGGGAAGAAATTCAGTCTGAACCCAAAGTACATATAGATTATAAATAAAAACTAACACAAACCACAGCTGCAGCAATTAACGAGGCAGGCAGGATATGGAATTGCAGACTTCAAAAGATAAGTTGGGAGGACGCAGGAACTCAGATAAGACTTGACAAAACAAAGATAATGCATACTTTCCTTCCAGCAAGGTGCTGTGCGCAAACGTCCTTTTTAAATCCTGCTTTCCCAGCAGCGGCTAATGAAGGGAATCAGGGCCCTTTTCTCCCCTGTAACCGCCATAAATCACCTTGCTCCCTTCTCCGTTCCTTCCTGCGTGCCCTAGGATGAAGAGGGTGTGGGCCTGCTATGGCAGTGGATAGTTTTTTAAGAAGTAGGCACATATTCCGTCCAGTCCAATAGAGATGGTTTTAGATTTTGTAGTGCTTTTTCAACATTGTCTTCTTTAAAATCGATATGTATTAGATCATTGTAGTTGTCTGTGGTTCGACTAAGAAATACTGGGCATGATCCATTGCTGTTTACAAATACTGAGCCAAAGAATGTGTTAAAGATGTTGGCTTTAATGGTGTCATCATTGCAGTCTTTAGCATTTGGTTCTTTCAGGGGTGGGATGGACCTTGAGTCTTTTAGTTTGTTGTTTTTACAAAATTGTAGAAAGCGCGGGTGGAATTGGTGCACAGAAGGTTTTCCTCTTGTTTAATGTGATAATTGGTGCATCTGGTGGCATAATTTTTTTTAAAAAAAACAATTTTATTGGTTTTTAAAGACAAACAAAACATAAAAACATCCAGCTTTCTTTCATAAATATACAAGCAGTGTGTCAGTTGGTTTACCAATTTTTTTGTGTATCCATTTCATAGAATCAATTACAGTTACATTACATAATAACTCATATTATCAATCAGAAATTAAATACCCTAGTATCACTATTGAACAATCGTTTGACTATAATTTTATTCATTCATGCTTTGTGAGATAACTATAATTTACTTAGTTTATTTTATAACAAATCATATAATCATACCAAATCTATCCTAAAAACATTTTATAGATATGATATATAAAAAAAGAAATATATCTTTATGTTATGTCTCCCCTTTAATTGCAGGAGGGCAAAATGAAACAGGCAGTTCACAAACCAAAAAGCAAACCTTCCCAAAAGGACTGTGGAAGGGTTTTCCGTCCTCAGCAATAAATCCAAACTCTGTCCAGCAAACTTGATGTAGCTATAAATCCCAAAGCCTCAAAGAGTTCTCTCCGTGTGTTCACTCCCATAAATCACTTTGCTTCTGGCAAAGCTCACCAGCCAAGCCATTTCCTTATATCCACTATGAGGGCGTGTTAATCTCCTTAATTAGTCACTGGCTTGACACCTCCTTCCTAATTGAGATTGACGCCTCAACTTACGTCTGTTACGCACATCTAGCCAAGTTCTTTCCAAAGACTCCTCCCCACTAGAAAAGTCTTGCAAGCATTCCTGGTTAGCTATTCCTGGCTGTTGCTCAGCCAGAGGAGAAGAATCAGAGGAGGTCAAAGGTCCTGACAGCTCTATTAAATCAGGTCCGTCCCTCCTAGTTACATCCATTTCCTCATCCTGACTACAATCCAAATCGCTCAACAGAGCCGGCTCATGATTTACTGCCATTTCCTCTTCGCTTGAGCTCACATCTGCCAACGGAACCTGTGGTAATATATCATCATCATATTCTGCAAGTCCTCGTATAGCTTTGCATAAGATCTGGGGACTTCACAAACGCTCCTCATGGGGGCAGTAGTGCTTCTATGATGGACGTTTGGTCCTGTTTGGGTCTGCAAAGCTTAGAGAGACCAGGTATATCGGTGAGAGTTCACAGTACCCAGCCGAGCCATTCCCATGAGACCTTTGGTGCCTGGATATTCTCACGGGACTTTCCGCAGTCTATTATCAGCCCTGCTGAGGTTGAGGTCATTGTTTTGATTTTGTACTTGCATTTTCTTTCAATAAAAGCTGGTACCTGGGTTCTCTCGGGGCTGGCATTTGCTCAGACGTTTCCCTGCGTCTCATTTTTCAAATGCCAGACCACCACAAGTGGTGACCCCGACGTGATAGTTTGAAAAGCTATACGTTTCCTGCATCCTATACTCATCGTCGCGGACGTCGACTGGGCCGTCATCTTCTTCGCTGGACGGAGATAGATTCTTTTCGTGAGTATGGGGGGAGGTCTCTCGAAGGCTCAGACAAAGCATCTCAGGGAATTGAGAGAGATCACTGGGAATAGTTTTAAGTTTGGAGTTCATAGTAGAGGACATGCAGTAGGAAAGAAAGAAATTGAGGACTTATTACAGTATGTTTGGAAACATATTCCGTGTTATCCAGAGGGAGGTAGTATTAAAGTAGAGTCCTGGAAAAAGATAGGGAAATTTTTGCACGAGGAGCCTCGTGCCCCTTCTTCAATTTTGTTAACCTGGAGGGTGCTTATGGAAGCGTTAGCTACTCATGAACAACCGCTCCTAGCACCCCCCGAAGAAGGTTTGCCGCCTTACCATGCAGTACGTTTATTGCCACCGACAGCACCTCCAGATAAATCCAGAGGACTGTCAGGCACTGAAAATACTTTGTCAGAAGAGAAGAGTTTGCCTTTAAGAGTTCAAGTAGATGCAGTTACTGCAGCTATTCAAGAAGCAACAAACAGAGGGGAATTATCAGGAGATGATTTGGTAGAATTTGGAGTGGAGATTCAACTTAATCCAGTAGAAATTGGTGTGGATGCTGCTTTAAATCCGCAGAGAGTATGGAAGCCTTTAGCTCTCAGGATCTTAAAGGAAATTAAGCAAGCAGCAAAAGAATATGGTGTTAGATCGCCATATACTCAGGCATTGTTAGAAGCAGTTGGTTATGGAAATAAAATGATTCCAGCTGACTGGAAAGCTCTGTTAAAAATGATTCTAACCCCAGCTCAATATTTGGTGTTAGATCAGAAATGGAGACAGCTGGCAGTTCAAAGGGGAACAGCAAATGTTACTCCAGATCAGCTTTATGGAGCTGGTAATTTTACAACAGTGGAACTACAGCGAGATGGAATGCCAGAGGAGGGGTTCGTTCTTCTCCCACAGTTAATTTTACAAGCCGTAGGGGCTCTCCCTGACGGCGAAGGTGGTGAGAAGACCTTTACTAACATCAAACAAGGGAACAATGAACCCTATGAAAATTTCATTAGCAGATTGAAAGTGGCTATTGAAAGGCAAATTGATAATCAATTTGCCCGGAACGAATTGCTTTTGAAGTTAGCAGTAGAACAGGCTAACGCAGATTGCAAAAAGGTGGGGAGTCAGACTTTTAACATGGAGACTTTAGCTCTGGCTCTCCAGGCAGGAAATGCTAAAAAAGGAACTTGTTTCAATT